CTCGCCGGGCGCTCAGCGCCGCTTCCCAGCTGCTCCCATGCTCCCGATTTCCTGCCCGGAGGCCCCCCGTCCTCCTGCCCTTTATTTTCTCACGGGTTTCCCGTGTGAAACACGGACAGGCTGGAGAGCAGCGCCGGGGCCGGGCCCTGGGACGCAAGGAGCCCGTGACGGCCTGTGCCCCCCGCGCTCCCCCAAACCCCTGCTCTGCCCTTTTCCACCCAAATGAGTGATTCCCCGCTCCATTTTCCCCTCCAGAGCAGCTTGGCCTGGGGAAGCAGAGCGGGATGTGCCGGGTGCCGGGCAGACGCCCCGGCCGCGGGGACGGGCAGCACCGCGGGGATGGCAGCAGGGCCATGTCTGCAGCCACAGCCCGTCGGGCCCGGGATTTCGGGTGCTGGTTGGACCCGGTTATTTCTTAGCCGCAGCTGCCGGCTCTCGCACCGGCCTCCCGCTGTCGAAGGGCCGTTGAGACGGCCCCGTGCTGGGGTAGGGGCAGGCGTCTGGTGAAAGAAGTCTGGATTTTGGCGTTTCATTCTTCAAGTTGAGACCTTGGTGTGGAAACGTTGGCTTGTTTGCAAACGGCAGCTCGGAGAGCTGCTGCTTCCCTGCCCTTGAATCCATTTGTCCCTTTGGACTCATCCTTGCTGATCATACCTGGAGCCGCAGAATTGCCACGCAATGGGGGAAGAGCAGCAGCAGCCGTCTGTGCCCCCCGTAATCTGGCAAAGAAGCTGCCAGATGAGGCGTGGCTCAGAGCTGCCGGGTTAGTTGTCAGTAGGGCTAAGAGTGAACATGTCCACGAGGAGAAGAGGAAGGGCTCTGCAGCTCCAGTGGAAGTTGGATTTCTGCAGGGTCACGTGAGGCCGTAGAGAAGCAGCAGGAAGAGCTGCTACCTGGCGCTCCGCGGCAGCCCGATCCGCGCCCGGCACGTGGCTCCCGCCGGGACGTCGGGGCCGCAGGAAGCGCGTTCCGGACAGCGTGTCCCCAGGCACCCTGTGCCCGGAAGGGCCGTGGGAACACGAGGCTGCCGGGAATGGGGCCAGGCCCTCCCGGCCTCGGCGCCCCCGGGAGCGGGAGCCGAGCGCTCCCGGGCTCTCCCGGCTCCGCTCACATGCTCCCAAGCTGATTTGAGGCGAGAGCCTCTGGAACAGCCTCATTCTTCCCTGATCGCATTAGGGAGGCTAAGCCCTGCGCCAAGAGCAGGCGTGCGGCGCCCCAGCAAGGAGCTACGGCCTCAGGGACCTGTCCCAAACAGCCCCTGGGCCATCACCTCCTCTGACCTCGCCCCGTCCACCCAAGTCCATTGACTTGTTTTTGTTCTTTGCTCCTTTTCCAGCTCCCACGACAGCCTGGAGTCCGGCAGCGAATACGTCAAGGTAAGAAACCGCGTGCAGCCTTGGCACGGGTGCCAGCGGCGGTGACACGTGCCCTGGCTCCTGGTGGCTCTCCGTGCACATCGGTGATGTTGACACGTGCCCTGGGGACAACCGGGTCCGCTCTGCTCACCTGGTCCCACCGCAGGGACCGGGCACAGAGAGGCTTCCCAGCCGGAGCGCAGCCCGGAGCCAGCGCACGCTCCGGGCTCCCGCGGGAGCGACCTGCACAGCAGCAGGAGCCGCCTCCCGGCCCCGTCCCCATGGAGCCAAGGAAGGGCTGGGGCCACTCGCATAGCCGTCCCACCAAAGTCGCTGTAAATCTCTCCAAATCTCTCGCTTATCCTCCAGCAAACTATTAACATTCCTGAGGACTCCTCACGTCTGGCCAGAAATTCATTAGCGAGGCGCCTGGCTGCACAGGAGAGCCGGCCCCGCGCGGGAGGCTGCTGGGGGACACGGGGACACGGAGCGTTTTTGGGGCGGGATCATCTACATCCTGCCTGCTCTCTAGGGCACTGCCACACGACGACCTTCTGGGGGTGTCGGGTCCGGTTCCCGGGTGGGCTGGTGGCCATCAGGGCACGTTGGGACGTGGGGGTTCCTCGTTCATGCAGGCAGGTCCCTCGGCATGGGGCTGAGGGCACTTTTTGGTGTCATTTCCCTTGTTCCACCCATGTGTGACCCCGAGACGGGCGCGTTTTACAACTCCTCAGTTAATGGGCTGAACCCGTCACGGGGTTAACGGGCAGAACCCGTCACTCTGGCACTGGCCTCCCTTTCTCACCCGTCCCAACACCTGCGGTCACCGCGTGTGATTTATCCCCCGCTTCCCCTCAACACTGGAAGCCGCTGACGGCTGCGACGACAGCAGCTGGTGCAGTCCAATAGCTAAGGGATAACTAAGGGATCCAGGTGTTGGGGACACTCGGGTGATTGCAGGTGGGAGCCCAAGGCCCCACATGCCCAGGGGCACCCGGCAGCGTCTGGCCTGGGGCCACCCCATCACGGTGGGGAGGTCCCTGCTACCGCTGCGGTTTGGTGGCATCGCCGGGCTCCAGGGTGACAGCCCTCGTGTCCCCACACCACGCTTAGAGGTGCAGTGATGGACCGAGAAGGTAGGGAGGATGAGGATGAGAAGGTCCACCAGCGCTCAGTGGCCAGCGTGCTTCAAGAACAACCCGCGCGTTGGTGTTCTCAAGCTGCTGGGGGAATCCGGCGCCGGTGCCGCTCGCTTAAACCCCAGTGGGATGCAGCTCCGCGGCGGGAGCCTTGAAACCGCATTCCCACCGGGAAAGACGCAGCCAGGAAAGCCAATGCGTGTTGCGGTGAGAAACCCCTTGAAGGTGCTCAGCTTCCCTGGTGCCCCTGTGTTTTTTGGCCCAGACCCATTGCGGCCCGAGAGGTGCAGACAGCCAGGGAGGCTCCTGCTCTCCCACCCGCAGGGAGCCTCCGAGCAGCCCAAGCCATCGCGGAGGAGAAGCCTTTGCAGGAATATGATCCAGAGGCGGCTTCGCTCGGAGCGGCTGTTCCCAGCGCGCTGCCATCTGCTCCGTCCCGCGGTGGCAGGAGAGCCCAAGCTCTCCAATCCTATCCCAGACGGATCGGGGAGCTGCCAGCGTCCGCCCCCGTGTTCACGCTCCCTTCCTCCTTGTCCAGGGATGCGGGGGCTCATTTGAGCACATCATACGTGGAGGTTTTCCACGTCAGTGGCACGTGGCAAGACAATTCCGAGCTCACAGAGACCTGGGAGCACAGGGACCCCAATCACCTGGAGCAGGTCTGAGCCCAGGTGCAGGGCAGCCCAAGCGAGCGGAGACCGTTGACCCCGCCGGGCTCTCCTTGCAGTCGTTAGATCCAAACCCAGGTCGTGGGTCTGTGATTTGGGGTTAGGGAGGCGGTTCTGAGCGCGCCGGCGGCTCCCCGCTCCCCGTCGCTGCGTCGCAGCCTGGGCTCCAGCGCCGCTTTGAGTCATCGGTGCTGCCGCGTGCGTCCCCTATCGCGAATCCGTGGCCTTAATTAAACCAAAGCAGAGCCTTAATTAAACACAACATAGACGTGGCCCACATGGGAAGCAGACGGGCCCCCAGTCCCAGACACGTGTCTGGGGTCTCCCCCTCAAAACCCCTGTCATGGGGGTGAGCGGGACAGGGGTGTCCCCAGGGAGAGCGAGGAAGGGCAGAGGGGAGGAGGAGGAGGCTGAAAGGGCATGGGGGCAAGGACAGGAGAGCTGGCAGGGTGTCCCTACCCCATGTGTGCCAATGCGGAAGTGCGGGGACATCCGGGATGGGGACACGAGGTGAGCTGGGGGGTACTGGGTGTCCTCAGAGCTGGGGGGAGATGTGGGGTGCCAGGACCCACATGGAGATTGGGGGGAAGGGGGCGCAGGGACATACATGGGGATGAGGTCAGATGGGAGTGCTGAGACCCCCCATGAGGATGGGGGAAAATGCAGGGTGCCAGGACCTCCC